ATGCCGACTTGACCTCGAGTAATTAAACATCTATCCCTAACCTCAACATCCGATGCAAAGTACTCATTAAGAATCTCACTCATTTTCTCTGACTCCTTGCATAACTTCCCTCCTTTGTCCTTGAGTGGGCCAACCCTTTCTCTAGTTACCCTCTTGCTCCTTATGTACGAATAAAAGGCTTTGGGATATTCCTTAACCCTGTTTGTTAAAGATATTTCATGACCCTTTTTAGCCCTCTTAATTCCTCGTTTCAGATTGGCCCTGCTTTCCCGATATTCTTCCAAAGCTTCATCTGTTTTCAGTCGCCTAGACCTTATGTATGCTTCCTTTTTCTTCTTTGCTAGTCTCACAATTTCACCTGTCATCCATGGTTCCCTAATCTTGCCCTTTCTGTCCCTCATTTTCACAGGGACATGTCTGTCCTGCCCTCTAATCAACCTCTCTTTAAAAGCCTCCCACATATCAAATGTGGATTTACCCTCAAACAGATGCTCCCAATCCACATTCTGCCGAATTTTGCTATAGTTGGCCTTCCTCCAATTTCGCACTCTTCCTTTAGGACGACTCTCGTCTTTGTCCATCAGTATTCTAAAACATATGGAATTATGATCACTACTCCAAAAGTAATCCCCTACTGAAACTTCAACCACCTGGCCAGGCTCATTCCCCAACACCAGGTCCAGTATGGCCCCTTCCTGAGTTGGACTATTTACATACTGCTCTAGAAAACCCTCCTGGATGCTCCTTACAAATTCTGCTCCATCTAAACCCCCAACACTAACTGAATCCCAGTCAATGTTGGGAAAATTAAAATCTCCCATCACCACCACCCTGTTGCTCCTACATCTTTCCATAATCTGTCTACATATTTTTACCTCTATCTCACGCTCGCTGTTGGGAGGACTGTAGTACAGCCCCAACATTGTTACCGCACCCTTTCTACTCTGATCTCTGCCCATATTGCCTCACTGCTTGAGTCCTCCATAATGCCCTCCTTCAACACAGCTGTGATATCCTCTTTGACCAGTAATGCAACTCCTCCACCCCTTTTACCTCCTTCTCTATCCCGCCTGAAGCATCTGTATCCTGGGATATTTAGTTGCCAATCTTGCCCTTCCCTCAACCAAGTCTCAGTAATTGCAATAACATCATACTCCCAGGCACTAATCCAAACCCTAGGTGATCCCTTGTTGCATTCCATCCATGGAAGGTAAATATTCCTGTAGCTAAGAACCCAAACTGCAAACAATACCCCAGATCTGTCCCACCAAGGCTTTGTATACTTGCAGTGAGATGTCTTTCCTTACATCTTGTTTTGATGTGATCCCAGCTGATGGTCAGAGTGGATACATCTGATTCCAAACTGACACCTGGCTTGATAGCACTTTGGTCTCATTTCTGGGATTTGATTTCAGAGAGGCTGAGTTACTGAACACACTCACATGAGGCTGCCAATGTACTGTTAACAAGAACATTAAAGTTTATTACACGCAAAAAGAAAAGAAAACATGAATTAATCTTCAGTATACAAGAGCTATTTGAACAGCACCACATCCACAAACATCCACTGCCTCCGCCACTGACACACCATGGTAACAGTGTGTACCATCTACAAAATGTACGGCAGAAATTCATCAAGGCTCCTTAGTCAACACCTTCCAAACTCACGATCACTTCCATCCAGAAGGACAAAGGCAACAGATACAAAAATATAGACTGGGATAGGCAGGTTCTTGATTATCAAGGGGATCAAGGGTTACGGGGAGAAAGCAGGAAAATGGGGTTGACAAACTTATCAGCCATGATTGAATGGTGGAGCAGACTCAATGGGTCGAATGGCCTAATTTCTGCTCCTATGTCTTATGGTCTTATGGTCTTAAGTAGGCCAATTGGCCCTTAAAGCCTGCTCTGCCATTCAATGGCTGATCTGATTTTACCCTCAACTCTACCTTCCTGCATTTCCCCAATAATCTTTCATACCCTTGGTCATCAAGAATCTATCAACCTCTGCTTAAAAATATATAAAGATCCTGCATCCACTGCCTTTTGAGGAAGGGAATTCCAAAGACTCTCAACCCTCTGAGAGAAAAAAAATGTTTCCTTATCTCTGACTTAAATGAGCAACCCCTTATTTTCAAAACCTAACCCCCAGTTATTGATTCTCTCACAAGAGGAGCCATCTTTTCAACATCCACCCAGCCAAGTCCCCTCAGGATCTTATACATTTAAGATAAGTCACCTATGACTCTACTGAACTCGAGGATACAGACCTAGTCTGACCAGCCTTTCCTTATAAGGCAATCTGCTGTTTCTAAGTATAAGTCTGGTAAGCCTAGATACATGGGAACACCACCCCCTGCAAGTTCCCCTCCAAGCCACTCACCATCCAAACTTGGAAATATATCGCTGTTCCTTCACTGTCACTGGGTCAAAATCCTGGAATTCCCTCCCTCAGGGCATTGTGGGTCAACCCACAGAACATGGACTGCAGCGGTTCAAGAAGGCAGCTCACCACCATCTTCTCAAGGGGCAACTAGGGACGAGCAATACATCCCATGAAAAGATTTTTTAACGAGTCAATAAAAATGCAGCAAGCATTTCGAACAAAGTTTTTTTTTTTAACCAAAACAACCTTCCGCCTGGAGTGGTGAGAATGTGGGAATTTGTTATGACAGAAACAGTAGCAATGCTGATACATTCAGATCATTGCCAGAAGAACATGTGGGAGAGAAAGGAATAGGGAAACATTTGATGAAATGAGATCATGATGGTTTGGGGGGAGGCTCATAAGACACCAGAGTACTCCTTGGGACTAAAAGGCCCGTTTCTGAGTTCAAAACTGTAGCTCATCTTTTTAATTGTTGTTCTCTTTTCTTCAGATCGGAAGACTTAAAGTGCCTTTTCAGGGCAGAGGCTACGAGTGACCAAGGCACTGAGATCAAACCACTGGAGGAGGAAACGTAGGTACCCAGATGGTGTTAAATACACCTCAACTCTTACGACCTATCAGAGCAAAGCTCAGTGTGCGAGGACCTATCAGAGCAAAGCTCAGTGTGCGAGGACCTATCAAAGGAAAGATCAGTGTGCGAGGACCTATCAAAGGAAAGATCAGTGTGCGAGGACCGATCAGAGCAAAGATCAGTGTGCGAGGACC